ATATATATATTCACCATAATAATGAACATCCACAATTAACAACATATCAATCAAACTTCAAACCATACACACTTTGCAAGATAACAGTCCATGAGCAATACTGTTATTATTATAATCACTACTACTATTTCATTCTGATCTCTTCCATAAGACACGTCCAAATAAATCACAACTGAAATTGATCGCAAACTCACTAATTCAGTTCACGTCACCACTATCGCCCACCTAAAAATTCATGACTGCTGAAAAGGTTCATGCGCGACTGCTGTCAATGTGCTGCTGACTGCACTTACGGGATACAACGACCGAATAAAAAACGATTGCAACTGTTCGAGTGAAGGCTTCAATGTGATTTGATTGATTAATCGATTAATAATGCTTCAGTGGATTAAGGCACGGATGTGTGAGGTTGATAAATTGAAAACAATCCGCCGCACAGCTCTGGTTTCTGTGACTGAATTGAAGAACTCACTGAACAATACGTATCATCTCAATGCAATCATGCACGAGACAAGAAACAAATCGCACACAGAATATAGCCCATTTCGTAAATTTCAATTGAAACTGCTCATCATTATGATTACATAAGATCATATTACTGCTATCGTTACTTGAGAAAAGATTGAATGAATGCATAATTAACAATAATTATAACAATAAGCATAATATGTTCATAACAATCATAATGATCATCATAATCAATAAAATCAATGCACAGTGATAAGCATCTTACATCACCTCATCTACACTTTCGAATCCAATAAAGAACGTAAGGCTGAATTTGTGAAAACTTCAGATTCTGAGAAGAATCTCCTTTTATAAATTATCGTCAGTGTGCAGTTACTCGTTTGGTATCGGGACAATTCCAAAGATCACGCGTTGTTCAGTTGTCCCGAGGAGAAAAAGAGGAGTAATATAAGTTTAGAGATGAAGCTCAGATTCAGGCTTAGTCTCAGTTTCAGGCATTGGATTAGTCACATGCAAAATGTCCACAAACATTTGTGTGCATTTGATTATTATTCAGTGCATTTGTTGAATTTTCTGCAGCCATCAGTCAATGAATGAAAGAACAAACGAACGCGCAATTCAAATAACCCGTAAGGTGTGTGACAGACGAATAGATGAATCGAGCAAGATCTGTGAGAGTAAATGAAATTTTTATTAGTAAAGTGTGAAAAGGAGGTTTTCAGTTTTGTAATCACTATCATTGATGGCATTTCGTCTCACTAACAAATGCGAATCAAGTGCGCAAAATCGGCCGACTGTTGTGTTGACAATAGAATAATCGTAAATACCAGTCAATATCCAGTGCCTTGGATAACGAGCTCTTGGAAATTCCGGAATGCAAGAATGGTGCACTAGGGCGCCTCAGGTGAAGAGTAAATTGGCTTAACAATCGTTCAAACTGATCGTTTGGAAAGAAATTTCACATGAATTATTTCTGGACTGAAAGATTTGCTTTTATGAAAAGGAAGCCTAGAAGTGTGTGTGTGTGACAGTGCCCAGGGTGAGTGGGTAGTAGTGGTAGCAGCAGCAGCAGCAGGATCAACAGCATCTACTGAACGAGTGTTTCTTATGATCACTAATGAAACTCCATATATGGCAATCAATCACATAAACCAATTAATGCTCGCTTGCTTGCTGTGGTAAACAAAACAACAAAAAAAACATGAAGAAACCAATCATCATCATCAGCATCATTATCAAAACAGTACATGCAGCATATGTGCAGGCGGGTAGCATTGGTGTGCTACCGTTCGAATCTCTTCAGAACAACAATCAACGAAAATTACTGCAATTGCATTTGCAAGACGTCGTTACATTGAAAAAAAACACATCGGTATGCAAGCAGAAAAATTGTTTTTCTTTCAAAATGAAAACTCTAACAAGAGAAGAAGATAATATCGTAAATAACTAAAATAATCGCCAATTTATAACAATTATGATACACAAACACATACGCGCACACTCATATTGATTGGCGACAGCCAAATAACAACGCAAACATTCGTTGTAAATGATTCAGGATCGGATAGATGGCGGTCGCCGCAGACGATGACGAACACGATAGAAACGCGACCGGCCAAGAAGTACCGACAACTCAAAAGTTGCAACTGAGTTAAGCCCAGATTTACGCTTAACACTGAGCTTAACATCTTCGTTTTCAAATATTTTCGATATGAAAAAAATAACACATTCTGAATGCATTATTTTAGTTCAACGTGGTTTAATTTGGATCTAGGTACGGAAAACCTTGAAGCCGCCACTGGCAGACATACGAAAAAAAGGAAGCTTCGAATGACAGTCATAGGAGACTGAATTCATCATCAATTAAGCTTGGAATTAACGAGTCATAATCACATCGATGAAATAATTCGAATTAAATTACGCTTCTCACCACAATCATCCAATTTATACTAATTCTTTTGAATCAACCACAAAAACGACAACAGTAACAATGATTCTGTTAAATCACTTGATTCTGCTCGTAAAGTTTTTGTTGTTGATGAGAAAATGTTTTTCAGATTGCATGTGTTAACGGTGAAGATAGTAGTCACAAAATGATAAAGATAACAATAACAACTTAGTAACCATTACGGTAAATGCAAGCAGCAACATTCCAAAAACTGAACTAACGTAAGTACTACTCAACAATATAAGCAAGACCAGTGCTACACTGACTGGTGTCAGCAATAGCATAATACAGTCGAATGCGCAAGTCAAAGCGGATGTTCAGTACAAATTGACGATCGAGCGAAAATTTCGGCAACGATCAATTGGAACGAAATTTTCCGATTCAACTGGGATTCGCCGAAAATGCACCCAGTCGGCAAATTAGTTACCGAAACTAATTTTGATCGGTTCAGCGCAGAATTTCTCGACATTTTTCACATTCATTCGATGGTCGGAAATCTGCCGAATGCATATTTTCACATTTTGCGCGATATCCCCCTAATCAAGTTCACAGCTTTTGCCAACACTAACACTGCCGATCGAATGAATCGTCCTTATATGCCACGATTCAGAATAACAATGACATCAAAATTAATCAATTTAATGAAAGTATTATTAGTTATGTACGTAATAATTGTATAATTTAATATTAACGAATCTCATCATGAACAAAACGTATCAAATCCATATGGAAAGACTGTTGATGAATTACGTATAAACAAAATGTGGGTACTGAATGGAACGAATGGATATTAAAAACAGAATGAAATGAATAGATACTAAAACACATTGTTCCAGATGCGTTCTGATCGCAGCTGGCTGACTCTATAGCAAAAGTTGCAGCTGTCACAGCACGGTTTACGGCTTCCCACACACGACAAAATAAATAATGTCGACAAATAAGATGAGGCTAATTGCACTTTTGAATGGCTTTCTTTTAGCTTTCGAATCATCAGCGCTTTTATCCACTCGTTTAAAACTACTGCCTTTTCTTAGAGAGTGCACAGATAACAGTTGATTATCAGTTTTCAACAAGACTACTTGAAAGTAGTTAGAGAAAAATTTCTTGTTCAGGATATAATTTCAGTGAGAAGTTCGTTTTAGTTCAGTTCAACTCAAAAATATTCGATTGCTGATGAAAGGAATAATGAACAAGCGCCTTAGCCAGATGAATGCATGGATTGATTGGCTGTACAACTGGAAAGAAGGACAACCATAATAATGCGATCATTGAAGAATGTCATTTTCCACTGAGGAGCGAAAGGAGGAAATAGGGAATATCAATCAACAACCATTCATTTAAACAACGCAGAAAACCTGATCGAAAAAAAACTTCGGTATTTCCAAATACTTTTTGTTGATGATTCGAGATATAGTGAATAGAGTTGAGAGTTTAGAAGCAGCAATAAGGCGGCAGGTTAATCAGTGCTAATGCATTGTTCTAAGTACAATCAATATCACAGTAAATATAATATCAGCGAAAATGAGTAACAGTAGAACCGATGAGAATTTTTAAGAGACGAAAAAAGAAATTAAGAAAAATAGCGCTCAACTGCGAAACAAATTTAGGTAATAAATAGAATATAATTTCAAATGCCTCAGGATGAAGCTCACCTCGATCTTTCGTCCTTCAACTGATGAGCCGTGCAGCTCTTGACGAGCCTTTTCAGCATCTGCTGCTTTTTCCATGGTAACGAATCCGAAACCCTTAACAAACAATGGTGCAACATAGATCAACATGGTTTGTTCATAAATTAATGGCATAATTGTAAAGTAGCACTTATATTACAATCACAATCACATAACTATATGGCAGAAACAAACGAGCACACCAACCTTACTGCCACGTTCGTTAAATATAATCTCAACGTCCGTAACTGGTCCATATTTTTCGAACATTGCTCTCAAATCAGGATCTCTGAATCGGAAAGGAATATTCGACACATGTAGACGTTTCGGCGCACCATCTGCTGAATTCGCTGATGTCGACGGATCAGGCGTTGTCAGCGCATTTGCGCCACTCTGAGCTTGTTGTTGTGCCTGAAACACAAAACACCACATCTTTTCCTTTTGATTCATTCTTATAAGTTCCAATAATTTTCGGCTCTTCTGGGAGTAACTAGGCCCTGCTCCACATTACAACTGTCCAATGAAACGCTTAATGCTAACTGTATGCTTAGATCATTTACATATGCCAACCAATAATGAGCTCAAATAATGGGACTTATCAAAACCGAACCCTCTTCAATTTTCTCTCTATTTCTCAAATTCCTCCAGCAACATCATCGGAATTCAACTGATTTTCGACCGACGCAGAATCGCATGCACGTCCTCTAAGCCCATGGGACCCTCGAAGTACAGTGTGACCCATCGTATGCTCCAATCAAACCTACTTATTCTCATAACACCACATTACTCACGGCTTTTTGCGCTAACCGCGATCGGACTGACTGCATATTAACATTACGGATAAACTGAAGGGAGACAATCATATAAAGAGTAGTTAGTGCCAGCAGGGAATTACTGAAGTAAATCGAATGAATACAATAGCATTCACTCGGAATATGACATGGATAAATCCAATCGTGAATTTATCGTCAAATGTTGCTCAACACAAGAACCTGTTCAGGATGGATTGCTGAACGGATAACTAACTTCTCAACTACAAAACATCACAGATCAAGCTCTGCAATGAATACAAACATAGCAGTGATACAGTATTGCAATACGTACATTATTTAATAAAGTCAAAAGAAAAATTATAAAAGAATACAATTGACGAAGGGGGAGGCATTTGAGGACCAATCGCAGCCACTGCAGCCATTTGCATTTGTAACTGCAAATCGTATTGATCTCGACACATCTGATTCTCCTCTTGTTTCACTGTGTCATCGACACTGGATGTGATCGACGTAACGCTGGTCGGTTGTGCTGTTGCCAACACACCACCTGCACCCGTCATAACACCGCCGCCTCCTTGTTGATGATGCATCATAGCTGCTGAAAATTATGATAATTAGAAGAATTGCAGTCAGAATTACAATTGTAAAAATAGCAAGATATTAATACTGCTGACGTACTCAAAATTCCCATCCCAGTTCATGGCACATTTACATTAATTACGTATCCCATCAAATTTATGACATTCATCATAGCTATAAGTACGTATGTAAACATATATCAACGCATCAAGGTGATCAGTGATGAAACTTGTTAAGTTGACTTTACTGAATATATGGCAACACTTTATTTGTAGCCAACAAGCAGCAATTAGTTAGTAAGATTACGATGATGTATGATACTTTTGTTATTGAAGATGATAACGTTATGATAGCAATAAGAATGCTTGACGAGATAATGAATTAATAAACAGCTAATGAAGGATGGAATGATAATTTAATATGTCACTTAACGCACTAAAGTACCTACAGCTAGGAGATCAGGGGTGAATAACTTTAAACTTGAACAGATGACAGGGAAAGGGAGTGAGAGAATTAGATATGACGAACAAACACGAAGTTTTCGAAATAAATGTTGGATGCCGATTGTGTTGTTGTTGCTTTATATATGACAAATGAATGAAAATGAATTTGATGCAGAACGAAAACAATAATAAACAGAGTAAATAACCAAATGAAGATGGGCAATGAGAAGCACAAAGGAAATAAGTGCATGAAACAATTGGAACGAAAAATCAAATGAAGGAGACGAAACGCTTAGGAAAATCCTTCTGCTGCTGTCGGTGGTGGTATGGCTGCAACTAATTTTTTTGAGTTTTCATCCATCATACATCAACCAAAACAGCAAACAATACTTTTCAAATACAAATATATTCTTTCATACTATTACTGATTATGAGGATGATAATAATTCATTCATGAATATAATATTATAAGTCAAAAAGATTCCATAGATAATAAATATTGTAAATTCATATATAGCTATAGTCATTCACTCATTTATTTATTCCTGCAAATGATAGAAACAAAATAAAACCAAGTGCGCGTGTACAAATGTATATGCAACATGAAAAATATACCTTTTAATATATTATAAGATAATTTGTTGTTACTGAAGATAGAAGAGGACAAGATGAATGTATGAAAGAGCGCAATAATGAATTTGTTCAATCAAGAGTCTTTACGAACTTCAATATGTAGCATCAGCATCAGTATTACTAACCATAAACCCACTAGTTACAAACACTTCTATCAATACAAATATATGTATGTCTTCAACATTAACAAAAATATTATAACTAAAACTTCAAATCGATACAATAAAACTTCTTTTAAGAACTGCCCACTATTACTGATAATACTAATGTTCTACGTTTGCTTCACTGCTATTCAATTCATCAACCAAGCCATATAATACACATTCATAAATTCTAACAACTCCATAAAAATCCAACGCCCATGGCTGCCACTACCTGGCGTAAGGAACATACCTAGCCGCCGAAGAACCGAGGGCTACTTGCAGTTTTAAGCCTAAACTGGAACTTGGATCAGTCAGGCTCAGAGCTTCCTCCCACAAAACTTGCACTGTAACTACGTACAATACATTAAATGTGCAGTAAATGTGCCTAGTTGTATAATGACATACATCAAGTCCGTTGATTTAACTCAGTTTGAAATTCTACAAACTACATTTGAACTTTCGCTCAATGTGCAAATTATATCTAAAATATGAGTGAACAAAAAAAAATGAAATGTGGGAATGTGAAAAGAATTGAAAATATGAAAGGATGATGACTAAAAAAAATGAAAATACTTATGTACAATGCACAATATTGAATATTCTTCTCAGAGTGAATTTCAAATATCAAAGAAACATTCAGAGATCATTGCAGCTGATATGAATTCCGAAAACACGCTTTCAGTTCATACGATTTCAATCTGAATATCACCGCATTTAACGAGAATAAAACAAAATATCAAATATCAATAGTTTCACTAAACAATTAATACAGCAAGCTTCTTAGAATAGGATGAAGACCTTATACAATCCCAGTAAGGAAAGCCCAATTACGTATTCCTTTCCAGCTGATATCCGTTTTATATTCAGTTCAGTGATTTTCAAATTATCGTTCTCCGTACCCCATCCTTGGCCACACTGCACACTACTATTTCCTCTCTTACCTTTCAGTAGCCCACATGACTCCTTTCTCTTACCTTTCAGTAGCCCACATGACTCCTTTCCTAAACATAGGGTTGTGCTATCAACAATTTGTCAGTGGTACCAAAGGGTCACAATCAATTCCTGGCCACTAAAAAAGGCATTTCAGAAACCCTGTGAAACTAAAAAATTAATCAACATTAATTTACCAACCTCCCCACTGCACCCCCTCTACGCCAAACACCACAACCATGAACACTTTCTTTCTATCTAGCAATAATCACTGATATTCACAAATACTACCCTCACTTTCTTTCACTTATATAGTGCGTGTTTTCGAGCGAAAAAACAATAAAATGCGAAATTTACCGAATTAAAAAAGACTATAATACATTAATATGCATTACATTAATATTGCATTATAACATTATATTACCATTGTTTCGATCAATGCAATTGCACTTGTGACTTTTGCCAGAATATTTCTCGGTTATTATCATTTGGGCAGCTATTTTATTCAAC